TTAATTAACTACATTGTTGAATCCTAACGACTATCTGCTACTATTATGATGTTATTACTTTTTTAAATTATATAAAAGCTGCACGAAGGAATTTTATTATCATTTTTTTAATTTTGTGTTTGAAGTAAATAGATTTTATATAATCACTACCTAGCCCTGGAGCAAAGGTGAAGTTACGATGGATAAATTGTATACTCACAGGGCAGCTTATTACAGTCTTCTTTAAAAGACATCCTGTGTAACAAAATGTATCCGCATGCCAAAATTACAGACATACTTATGTAATTTTTGGAGACTGTAAAGTATACCTACACATTAAGTTGATGTCGATCCAAATGCGGTGTCACGGTCCACAGCCTGTGTCTTCTTCTGATCGCATCGATTGGATATATTATAGTGCTTGCCGTCATGGTGATAGGATTTGCCAATCGGTGTGGGGTACTAGCCGATTGTAGCCCCAGGGTGCGTCAGACGTACAGGAAAATAATTGGTACGTCGTCATATCACCCGGAACACGTCCACTGCTGAACATAAGCCCCTAGCAGTAGAGCTCCTTGTGAAAGAGTTCGTTCAGGGAAGTACTGCCACGCAGTAATGCTAGCATTACTGTGTTCCGGTTTGAAGGGTAAGGGTGCTGGTGAAATTACATGCATGGCACATGGGATTTGTTCAATTTCTGTCTCAGGGTGTCGAGCGCAGTGGCAGTGTCCTTCAGATCTTTGTGGTTTAAAGCTCTGGGTGGCACTGCACCCGTTAAGGACAGGCGTGAGCTTAACATCAGGCGCACGACTTGTTCGTCCTATTACTTGATGTTATAAAAAAAGTTTAGTAAGGGGCCGTCTCACTGAACGCCGGTTCGTGGTCTCCATTCGAGAACCTTTCCGCCCCTACGGCCGTCAGTTCTACGAACTAGTTCCCTGCCCACTGCCACTTGAACTTGCTAATCTTTGGAGCTATGTCGGTGACTTTCGTTCTTCTACGGATCTCCTCATTTCTGATTCGATCACGTAGAGATATGCCGAGCATTGTCCGCTCTATAGCTCGTTAAGTAATTTTGAGCTTTTTTATGAGGCTCATACTAAAGCTGCTTGTGCGTATATTCGCCTGAAATACGTTGTCCTATGGATGTTACGAATTAATATTTTTACAGCATGCTATATACAAATATTACTTTTAAATACAAACACGAAAATAGCCAAACGAAGCGTGTAAGAAATCAAATTGTGGACAATTACACACACAGCACAGCATACACACGTTATGGCGTGTCGTTTGATTATTTATAGTTAGTTATTTGCTTCCCGTTAGTGTGTTATTTGTGTGTATTATCTAATTGCTGTCTTTTTCTCCTTTTTTATTTCGATTTTTTTTACATGTTTTAAGTATGTTTCGTAATTGTCAAATGTATGTGTGCTGTGTTGTTCCGTTATGGAATAAATATTTCTTTCTTTCTTTGTTTGTTTCAAATAAACTTGTGTTGCGTCCACCTAGACAAACTATGACAAAAGGAATATTACGTATGAAAGTGCTAAAATCTACGACGAATAAATAAAAAAAAATAATTTCTCTTATATTAGGTATATAAGAGAAATTATTTTTTTTTAATTTCCTGGAAATGCTTTGATAATTCATTCACTTAAAAGAAATTTAAAAAACACATAAATTCAATAAGTTACTTAAAATGCATTTATTCCACCAAAATAATCAAAAGAGTAACCACATAAAGCATTTCGTACTACAAATCTGTACTCGAAAAGTTACCACGCCTAGGCAGTTATTGCTGATCTGTGTAAAACGTTTCACTGCCTTTTTTGGTTCATTGGCGCAACGTTTGGGTTTTTGTTATAAGGGAGTTACCAAACTTATTAACGCGGATTCGTCTTGGTGCGATCGTGTTTAACCACATTCGTCGTTAATGCGCACGCTTGAGTATATGAACAGAATATACTTATTATGTTTTAGTTAGTCCATAAGTTCTCAGTTAAGTGAATTGTAAATTGTTATACGTATAAGAATAAATTTTGTTAAACTTCTTACAGCATGTAATAAAAAGAATACATTACTCCGTAACTACCTGATGATGTATATCTATGAAATAAAATTAAATAGAATAAGTATTCAAATAAATTTCTTTTATTCGTAAAACCCTATAGCTTTATCGTCTTGTATTTTCCCCATCAGAGTACTGACAGCTTTACATAATTGTGTAATCAATCAAGAAAACAAAAAATTGTGTTTTCGAATTAATTATTTATCAATGCTTAACACTATTTTCAAAAAAAGAATTGCTTCATTATATCAATTAATCGTGGAGTTCAAAATAGCCATCCATCGTAAAGATAACGATTCGCTGCGAAAAAATGTTAGAAAATTAAATTATTCAAGAAAATGAAAATATAAAAACTGGCATACTGGCTAATGAGGTGCTTTTAGCTTGTCCCAAAGGATGAAACATTTTATTACTATTATAAATTAAATCATTCAAACTCCTTTATAATGAGATTATTTAAACCCAATTAAAATAGAACTATAAACCAATCTACAGTGTGATAAATCAAATTACGTATTTACTTACTGTACTTAACGAAAAAATTTTAAGTTTCTTTCTATTTGCAGCTTTGTACAGGTTTCCTGTATAATAACTGAAATACTTTCCACAATGAGATAAATACTATTACAATAACGACCTTTTCTAAAGTTCATTAGCCCCAATGGGTTCTGTAAGTCATAAATAAGGTCCATTGACTTTGGTTTTCGACAATTACTCATTATTAGCAAATAACTGGCAATTGTTCACAGTCTCTATTTTGCTCTAATTAAAGTGGCAGGCGTTTTATATTCGGTCATTATGGAACCGCTATTATAACATAAAATGGGCTCAATAAACTAACGTTTGTAATAATAATCACGTGTACACGTGCAGTTTATAACATTTGAAAGAAACTATGACAAATGAACAAGTAAATCTCGAGACTTCCGGCGGTTCGCCTTCCACCAAAGTTAATGAACAACGTGCCGTCGTGGTAGGGATCACGACAACAGGTTCATTTACACGTTTACCTCAATAATCGTGACATTGTGTATATTTCTTTTGTAAGATTTTATTATTAAAACTTTTTACGTATTCAGATCTGAAACATTAAGTGTCATTGACATAATAATATAATAACTAACTTATTTGTGATAGATAACACAGGTTGTATAAAAGTTGATATGTAACAAAATAAGTATAGTACTTATCGCTGCGTCTGCATCAGCATTAGATATACAAACATATTGAAGGTTTTTTTATAAGTCGTGCGCCTGATAGCAACACGCCTACCCATTATAGTTGCAGTGCTACTTAGAGCTTTAAATTGCAAAGATCTGAGGGGCACTGCCGCTGTGCTTGTCACCTTGATACAAAAGGTGAAATTATAGAATAGAATAGAATAGAATACATTTATTACATAACACCACAACACAATAATAAACAGTAAACAATTAAAAGTGAAAGAAAAAATTAAAATAAAACAGAACTAAATTAAAACTAAAACAAACTAAATTGAAACAAACAGAAAATGAATAACAAAAAAGAAAACTAAATAAAATTAATTAAAAATAAAATCTTGGCAATAAATAATTATGCGACCACAAAGCTGGTGAACACTATTGCTGTACTAAGTAGGTGTTATATGTGCGGCTGTGGCGTATGTAATAGGTTCCACTCAGCTAATGTCACCGCCGGCACAAGGCTGAGACGCTGATTTTCAGTGGACCCTAAATTATGTGCTTGTAATTTCACCAACTCCTTTACTTACCCTTCGAAACTGGAATGCTGTAATGCTCTCATAACTGCTTGGCGGCTGTAATAGGTAAGGTGCCAGTACTTCCCTGGAGGTATATTATACATTTACTCACATGTACTTCAACAGAATACACTAGGTGTAACACGTTGTTCTATTAATAATTTTACATACATAGGATTTAATAAGTCAATCTTGATGATTGTGTTATTAAAATAACAGTAATTTGAGTCAAATTTACTGATAATGAGTGTAAATTGTATATCAAAATATAGGAAAAGAAAAAAATAGTGTGCGATAATGGTATTTGAATAAAGTAAGAAAATATATTCAAATATCAAACATTATAAAACAATGAAGTTGTGGATTTTCCATTTAAGAATTCGGACACGGTACAGTACATTTTTTTAGACAATAAGTTGTTTAATTGTTTTTTTAATTATTAATTTACCGAAGGCACTATCTTTCAGTAAATTATTGTACATTTTTGGCGCCATTACAAAAACATTTAATTATGCATGAAGGTAATTTTACGAGCCGGTCATGACTTGATTAACATTAACAATAAATTAATTAACATTAAATATTAATTACACACACACACACACACACAAGTTTTAACTTGTAATGAAGTATATGTGAGTCTATTTTTTGATGATACTTCTTTATAGACCGCAGAAGTGTCTCAATTAATCCATAATTAAGGGATTTCAACCACTTAGATGTTATGTTGTTGCATTCTTAAGTGTTTTTCATATATTATGTAATTCTTTGTTAATTTTATCATATAAATAGTATACGTATACGGCAACCAATACGCGTATGCCGTGGGGTCTGTGATTTTTTATCGAAAGATTATAAATATGCAAACCATTCCAATTTCTAGATATAAAAGAAGCATAGACTCCAAGGTAAACGATTTTTTTTAATCATAGAATAATCACGGACTCATTTTGACACCGCTACACGCGACCCAATGGTGCGGCGATTGTTGTGCATGAACGTGACACGAAGCATGCCTACTCTAATGTCGGTCCTGCGCATGCCCGGGAAAAGGGGATATAAAGCCTTCCTTTGCCACACCGCCATCAGTTCGCAACACTACTTCGTGAAGCGATCCTTACTCTCCTGAGTTAACAATTCAACGCGACCAACGAAAAAGTTTATCTTCAATCAAAATATTCGTGATAAAGTAATTTTACAATAAGTCCTGTTTTCGAAAGCAAAGAAAACATTGGATTTATGAAAAATATGCTAGGAATTGAGTATGTGGCGAGTGAGAAGTTCGTCAGCGATTTACCGGTAAACGAAGTGTCCCAGCAACGCGCATCGAAGACACGGCGTGAATCCGTGACTCCGAAAATTGTGGTGTGCCCACCCATGGAAGAAATGTCGGAGCCAATATCTCTGCCTCGCGGTGCCAGGATACTGAAAGCGCTAGGCAGAAGGTTATCACGGCGTAGCACCGACGCTGACTCCATGGGCAGCTCCAGCAGCTGCGATAGCGACCAAGCCCGTTCGGATGACCCTTCGTCCTGCTCCGCTAGTGAATCCGGCAGCGATGGCTCTGAGCGCCATCGCCGACACCGCTCAACAGTATCTCTGCGTCGTGTTTTCCAAAGTTTGAGCTTGTCATCGCGCTCCCAATCGTGCTCTCCTTCTGACCGTCAGCGACAACCCAAGAAGCAACAACAACCTAAACGCATTCTCCGGCCTCCAGTGACTTATACTTACGTGCGCGGACTCTCCGGGCTTCCAACACAGAGAGTGCCCAGACATATGGTTTGCTGCTCTACTATGGGTCTACATCGATAAAAAAACGACTAAGATCCGAAGAACGCAGCACCTTTGAGCCTAAAGGACAACATCAAGACTGGTTAAGATAAACAAGTAGTGTAAAGTGCGCTAGCGAGACGAGTTCTCATCATATCAGCAGGAAACTGAAGATTTGAGAGCCAATTCGAAACGTTGTCTTCACGGAGGACCAATACGGAAGTGATGGCGCCGCCCGGGGCCTCTTGTTCCGGAACGTGCCTCTTGCGGCTCGCGCTGCAAAAGTTGAGCTGTGACTTGTTTAGTTCTATATAAGGGACAATATATAAGACTGTAAACCGATTTGAATTAAGTGCTCAGGACGTGTAATTCCTACTAATAGAAACCACGCATTATTGTACTGGATTATTCTCATTATCTTAAATCAAATTGCACTTTAGTGTATCAATTTCACACTCATTTTAATATCACTTTGATATATTTAATATACGACTACTTGTCTAATTACGAATGTAATTATAATATAACACATTAAATGATTACGTTGTTGGATTGGTCAAATTAAGACGATTTAACATATATAGTTATAACATGAAGTTTCCTGTTATTCAAGCATAGTGCCTTTCCACATTTTTGAATAAGTAGATTTAGTGATATACTTGTATACTTACTAATATGATGAAAAATTATGTACCTTAACTGAAATAATTACTTGTGCTACTGTAGTATAAAGGTATAATCGATCATCACTTGCCCACGTCGATTTTTGTGTAGTAAGTTATCAAGAATTATTGTTCAGTAAAATTAAGCAGGTTGATATACTAAAAATGTATACCGCGTAGATACTCTAAATATTGAATATATAGGTATAAGTCATTTTTATTATAGTAAAGTAAGACAATTTTCGTATCAAATAAAAACATGAACCATAAAAAAACTCAATTATTTCAATATTCTTTTCCTACCCTACTTAGAATTATCACTTCTATTAATTATTTATGAAATTGTCGACTAAGAAAAATATAATTACACAAATGCAAATACATTATAGTGATTAGTGATGGTCTAATATTATCTTGGAAATGAAACAAATTTTTCCACATGGGCGCCTGCAAAGACCTCGAAGCGTTGGTTTTTTTGAAAAAACAACTACAAAGATAGTTATTACAAACAATGAACGAGAATGTATAGTAGTGTATTTTTTTTTAACAATGCTCTATAATCTCACACTCACAATAACGCTCACACTCAACATAGTCTGTTGTTTTTAGTAAAGTAATTTAAATATATCTTTACTAAATGTTGGTAAGCAAAGCAAATGCGTAAACTTAATAGTTTTTCAGATTGGGTAGGGCCCCTGTGGGGGACCATACATTTAGTTTTGTAACTTTTTATTTATTTCTTTATAAAATCCAGGACGCTTTCTACAATTGTTTTACAACTTTTTTTATATGTGCGCCGGATGGTAAGCTACACGCCTGTCCATAACAGGTGCAGTGCCACCAGATCTTTAAATCGCAATTATCTGAGGGGCCCTGCCACTGCGTCCGTCACCTTGAGACATAATTTGACAAGTCCCATGTACGTGTAATTTCACCAGCATCCTTACCCTCCAAAACCGGAACACAGTAATGCTGACATTACTGCTTGCCTGTTATATGCAAGGTAGCAGTACTTCCCTAGATGAAATCTTTCATAAGGAGCTCTATTGCTAAACAAAAACATGGAGCACTGCATTTGCACATTTTCTCAGCCACGACATATGCTGAGTGGTATGATTCAGTATCTTTAGTTTTAGTTTTAATTTATTTTTTTTTGTAAGTTCTACTTAAATTGAAGGGTACCGAATAAAATTTTCATTTTTTCTTGAAAAAAAAAACAATTGTTATGTGGCTTCTCCGTGGACACACACATGAATAAAAGAACCTAAAATACAGGGGTGTGGTACCATTGTAACTTTACAGTATTCCTTACTGAATTACGTCAAATATTTTAAGTTAGGCCTGTTTATCACAGTGTACTTTACTGTAAACACGTATAAATCAAAACCAAAAGGTAATGACGACAACGTGTTCCGTACGTTATATTAATGGTGAATTAAATAAAGATTTATAATTAATTTCATCAGAACTGCAGGTCTAGAACGCGAGTCACGAGACACGCCCACATTTGCACGTGATCAAAGTATTGGCTAGCTAAAGTTTTAATTAATTATCGTTCATTGATTTATATACATTCACGTTTTTGTATTACTTTTAAATCTTTTTAAAAGGTGACTCGTAAAGCATTAGGCAATTGTCACGTGGAGAGTTTTTAAAAGTTTTACTAACGAATCCACGACTTATGTACTTATGTTTATAGATGCATGGACTTTGAATGCACTAATTTTTACTTTAGACAGAGGTTATAAGTCGTCATCTGGCAGAATATGTACAGATACTTCGTCGCCATCGTCTCATCGTTTCTGATACGGCTGCCTTCCTGGTACACTAATAATATACGATCGGCGATGGCACTCTTTTATAGAAAGAATATGCTGGGATGCTAAATAATTTTAACCTAATGAATATGCTGGTATTCGCTTCTAAAACACAATATATGCAATGCCGTTACATAAGCTGACACACATATGTGTTCTATATAATTACGTAAGATAGGGTAGACGATTTGAGGCCGATACGATGTGAGACAGTGTATGCGGAACTAATAATGTCGGACAGAGACCGAAGAAACGAAGGGTCGACGAACTTACTGCAACTATCGATTTGAGTGCAGCCTCCCCGAATTTGGGTATCCTATATACCTGAAGGATAAAACCTCTTAGCTTTGTGTGAAGTTAAAGTATTTAACGGTTGCGTAGAATAGTCGAATAAATGTAAAAGTAAAATTTATCGAAATAAAGAGATTACATTAGTAACAAAAAAGATTTTTATATGCAATTTCACCATGTATGTACATATGTGCTTACACATCTCCCGATTCTACTCGTACAATATTAAAAGTTGCTATAAGTCATTCAAACATTCGTAAATGTGTGACAAAAAATTCCATTATTTTGATATTACTTAATGAGGTACACGTAAAGTCATAAAATTGTTTGATAATTTTATGACAGAAATTTCATAGTTACAATTAACTGTCAAGGCGTGTCGCGTTTAAAAGGAAACGAGAACCTACACAAAACACGAAAACTAACAGAAACTATTACGTTATAGAGTTCTCTGGAATCACGTTTGTATTGAAGCTATTGTTGTAGTGATTAAAAATTCAATGTTGTTCAATGTTTAACATAGGGATATTACTAAAGAGGATATCACCATCACTGTACTGATAGGTTCGACGGCCTGAGAAGTATGTGTGGTATGTGAGGCCACCTATACGATTTTTCCTTCAATTATACGATTCTTTCTATAGGCAGCATTACGTATTGTTCTTCATAATTAACATCAGACAATACTGATGTGTTTGTTGAAGATAAGTGACTATCGGTTACCGTCAACAGTATATATAATATTATATTTCGTTTTATACACAGGTTCCGATTTAATTTAATTGAATTGATTGTACAGGTTTGCAATGGACGCATACACATATCGTCTGCCCTGTACAAGATGGTCATTTAGATGCACAAAACAATGGAGGTTGACATATTAGACAACAAGATTATATTTTCGCTGAGTCGAGTTAGCTTAACGTGATTTTAGTAGTAGTAGAGCTCCTAACGTGAACATTACTGCGTTCCGGTTTGGAAGGCTAAGGCTCAATTTATATTGCGGCGGAACGGAATGGAAACAAATTTTTGTACGTAACATACAATCTAGATACGAGCCTATGTCATCAGCGGAATTCTCGCGCATGCTCGAGAATGCTCGCACTTTCCGCGGAACATTTTGGCTCGTATCTAGTTTCTACGTTACACAATTAACCATAAAGTGCATTATGCTATGTACAATATAGTCACAAAAATTCTCTTCCATTCCGTTCCGCCGTAACGTAAAGTGAACTTAAGTGTGCTGTTGAAATTATAAGTACAATGGATTTGTCAACATATGTCACAAGGTGATAGACGCAGTGGCAGTGCCCCTCATATATTTACAACGTAAAGCTCTGAGTGGCACACAGGCGTGTCACTCACCATTAGACGCACCACTGGTTCGTCCCGTCACTCTTAAAAAAAACTTATTCTTCTCTTTCGTATCACTCTTGACAGAAAGACTAGTTTAAAAAAAACTTACGAATACCAAAACGTTGTATTTTCGCAGCATCGTCTTACTAGTCAATGAAAACAGAGTTTCACGAGCCTGTTGGTTAGTTGACACATTGAACTCGAGACTTGACGTGTTGATAAATAGCGATAATACATGCGTCTTTGGTTACTTCTAATCAATCAATTGCGTAATTTGTTGTGGTTCAAGGAAGAGCAAGATCTATTTGTGGTTTTTCTTTATAAATAATGGAACATAATTTATAATATTGTTAACGTATAGGAAATGAAACAATTTCTAGAGGTCTAAATCGCAACGCAGTCGGTCGTGACCATGGGACCTGGACGTCTACTCTCAAAACATACAACCGCAGCTGCGTACGAAATCAAAACGATCCGTGAGCCATCCGCAGTTCGTTAGCCACAAACGCTTTCGTTTCTGGCTTCGAATCCCATAGACAATAACGGACCGATATCGTGAATATAAAAAGTGAATGGTGAAATAGGTTCTTTTACATGCCTAAACAAAAATTTAACAGAACAAATGCGGATTTCTTTAGTGTTATACCATAATCAGTCGATAAGTCACTATCGACTTGCAAACGTTTCATTAGACCTAGAATATTTTTGAACAACCTGGGGGCCTACCATAACCTTTCCAAAAACAATCTTATTTCAATGTAAGCTTAAAGTAAGCTTATTATAATATTACTCATATTCGTACCATGACGAACCTGTCAACCAAGTAATGTATTATTGCAAAAGTGATTGAAAGAACTAATGATTTCGCAATATTGTCTATTCCTTACTAAAACTAGGAAAGAGACAACGCTATGTGAACTATATAATGATATCTCTTTCTTTTTTGATGTTCCGAATCGTCTTATCATAGTATAATGTTTAACCATTTAATGTTATGTACATTTAGAGAATTTTTACTATCAAGAAAAGAAAAGTATGTGATAATAAAAATCTATTAAAATTACGTCGTTTTTCCGCACTTTCACGAAGAAAAACAAATAAAACAAGCTGAGTCTTGATAGTCACGTTGTGAATCGGAACTATAGTCTAGTGTCGACTGTTTTACGAAATAAACATCGCGTATTTCTTATATTATAAATAAAAAATAAACAAAATATTGAAGAGATGTATGTAAATAAATAAGATCAACTTAGCTTTTAATCATTACAAATCAAAATTAAGACAATAAAACTGAAAATAATATTGTTTCCTTTGCATCCGTGTAACCATTTTAAGATTGCTAAATTTGACATAAGAGCAATATTACTTTAATATTAAAGTCACATCATAGTACGATCTGAGTGAATGAATAGTCACAAAGCTGCCAATAAAACATCATAGTTTTAACATTACAATAAGCTTACTTTAAGCGCGTTATGGTACGAAAAGTCAATGTAAGGTTAAAGTAATATTGTTTTAAGAGGTTGTGGTAGGCCCCCTGATTTTTGGAATAAACTTTTTGAGGATGTAACAACATCTACAAGAAGATTATACAAAATTCTCGCAGCAAGCCGGTAGTCGCTTACAACTTCGCCATCAGTAAGAGATCTCAAGAAACTGCGATTCCTTTGACATCGTCTCTTTACTTCGTCTTCACGTATTTTTTGTCCGACCGCCTCCACAACTAACAGTATTCACGATATTTTTACACAAACGATGCACAAACTATACCACTTGAGCTATCGTTGGTTTTATGTCAGTTCTACGATGAAAATAATGTCAAAATACATACATCTCGAAAGCTGTCATTTGGCGAATCTGAGTCAGGTATCCGCAACTGCTTTTTTCAAAACACGATCTTCGTACGCACTTCGTAATCAAAAGCGTCTCGTCTTACCTCCGATCCGATACGAAGCTAAAACGATGATCGTT